GGGGGGGGGGGGGGGGGGGGGCAAGACTGCAGAGACAGCCAGGGCCGGCTGTGGGAAACAGTCTGTACGCCTGGTGGAAAGACCACACCTGGGAGAGACACACCTGATCCCCAACACTGTCACTCCTCACGACACAATCACAAGTCACGATAAAACTTTCTGAGGACACTGCAGCTGCAGCGAATGTGTGTTCGCATGAGTGTGAACACATCTGTCGCAGTGTGTGATACGGCGCTATGGGAACCTCACTCTCCACAGCCCCGATTCACACACACTCAGCGCCGCCGAATCCCCAGGTGACCCCAGAGGCTGAGACGTCACAGTGACGTGGGGAGCTGTCACACAAGGTGGCATCTATTCATTGGCAGGATAACAGTGGTCAAAACACACACACACACACACTGCATTTCAGGGCAAAGAGCGTCTGCCTCATACGACGGCATGTTGTGGGGGGGGGACCTAATTTATATTCCACATTTCTTAACATTTATAATGTGTCTCAGGTCGAATAGCACAACAGATTCGCAGAGAGAGGGGGAGCCAGAAGGGGGGGGGAGAGCGAGAGAGAGAGAGAGAGAGAGAGAGCTGCAAGCCACTGAAACCACAGAGAAACGTCAACAACGAGCTTCTCAGATGCTATCTGGCCTAATTACGTCAATTGGGTGGATTTTCATGTTATCTGTGCAGACAGAAAAAAAAAAAAACCTCACAGAGGAGAACGCCGCATGCAGCTCCTGCATTGTCCCCCGCCAAAGAATGACAGAGTGCTTCAACCTCCTTGGGGGGGGGGGGGGCACACCGCACACCACTTAAAAAGTACATTGTTACTTTGGGTTGAAAAAACAGCATGGGGTGGGGGGTGGGGAGGCAGGGAAGATGGTGGCTGTAAGGTGGACAGGGAAAGTGGACTGACTCGATCAGACCCACATGGGTGATGCACCCGGACAGCCGCGACCCGGACAGCCGCGACCCGGACAGCCGCGACCCGGACAGCCGCGACCCGGACAGCCGCGACCCGGACAGCCGCGACCCGGACAGCCAGTGCGGCTCCCGGCCAATCGTGACGAGGCTGGTAGCTTCAGAGACCCGCCAGGCTAAAGAAGGACGAGTTCCTAACGCCCTTTTTTAATGGTTAGTCTGAATAACTCCACTTCAGTTTGGCAGCTACTCCGGGGTAAAAAGAGTGAAAACAACTGTTTTACTTTCACTATATTTATTGTTTTTCTGCATTTTTGTCCCGATTATAGGTTTTATTGCATGTTTGATCGTTTATGTGAGGCCACCACCCGCAACAATCGAAATTCCTTGTACTTTCTGTACTTGTGATTCAGAACATCCTGTTCGAAGTGTCTCACTGCAAAGCACGAGAGGCAGTCTGACCCTGTGTCCATCCATCCGTCCGTCTAGGTCAGGGTCAACCACAAGGTGGCAGGACGTCGGCAGGAATGAGAGGACCTTTGAAGTGGTGCAGCCCTTCTGTCCCAGGGAGCATCTACTCTAGTTAAAATGGTTTAATTGTCTGAAAGGGGTGACAATTGGGACGGGGTGATAAAGTTCTTTATTAAGGCAGGTCGGTACCAGGAATGGATGGTACCCATGAACAAGGTGCATGAATGACCCAACCCAATCACGTGCGTTTCTCTGATCTGGCGTCACGCCGGTCCCGGGATCCCGCGCTCTTACATCACAAGATGTCTCATTGAACAAAAAGGAAATGATCCGTGTCCGCCATCAGCATCTGCTTAACACTCGCCAGACATTAGTTCAGCAAATAAGTGTTGCCGTGGCAACCCAGAGGCACAGTAAGCAAACAATGATACAAACGCCATGGCAACTGGATGGCGGGCGAGAGAGATGGGGAAGGAGCAGGCTGGAGCCGGGTTTGTTTACGGAGGGCTGGCATGGCGACGCAGCAGAGATGGGACGGGCTGGCGTAGCGATGCGAACGACGCGGAAACGTTATATCTGCGTCTCTCGCCGGGTTCGCTCGGTGCCTGTCCCCAAACAATAAGAAAGCAGAGAAAGCACAAATGAGAGGTCAGCGGGCGGACGTGTGTGTGTGTGTATGTGTGTGTGTGTGTATGTGTGTGTGCATACGGTACAACAGAACGCCTTCCACGTCATGGCAGAAAAGTCAAAATGAGAGAAATGTGGGAAGATGAAAATGTGCAAAAACAAACAGGCAAAGATACACAGGTAAACACACACACACACACACGTTTGCATTTATAACCTTTGTGGCGACCATCCATTCATTTCTATGGGCATGACCCTAGGGATGACAACCTTAACCCCTCCTTAGCCCTAACAAAACAAAATACGAGACTTTTGGCATTTTTAATTTTTTGATTGCAGTCACAGATTTTTATAAAATTGAGTTTCCCCTTGTGGGGACTGGAAATGGTAACAAGTTAAAGGATTTTAAAGTCTTAAGGTTACACACAAATGAGTGAACGTCGTAGTGAAAGTCACTCATTGTACGACTGCAGTTTTGGCAGTAGTGATGGACTGCCACCCTCCCCTCTCGTGCCCTGGGCTGCCATGTGCAGGTTAACCGTTAAGATTCATGGCTGATCGATCTGGTTAAACACTCCCTTACCCTTGAGTGACGATGTCACAACAAAGAAATCCTTTCTTGAAAATTGTTATTACCAATATTAGAAATCGGTCACTGCTCTATCTTCAATATAAAGGAACTTACTCATTGTCTAATTTCCATCCATCCATCCATTATCCAACCCGCTTATCCTACTGGGTCGCAGGGGGTTGGGAGCCTATCCCGGAAGCAACGGCACGAGGCAGGGAACAACCCTGGATGGGGGGCCAGCCCATCGCAGGGCACACTAGCACACCATTCACTCACACATGCACACCTAAGGGCAATTTAGCAACGCCAATTAGCCTCAGCATGTCTTTGGACTGTGGGGGGAAACCGGAGTACCCGGAGGAGAACATGCAAACTCCACACACATGTGACCCAGGCGGAGACTCGAACCCAGGTCCCAGAGGTGCGAGGCAACAGTGCTAACCACTGCACCACCATGCCGCCCCCATTGTCTAATTTGTCCCCTGAATTTCCAAAAGAAAAGATGTGAATCTTTCTTTGTAACTTACTTCAGCTGCCCTAGGGCATCCCTGTACTTCCCATATGCGTTTGCCCCAAACAGGACACTTGGACACAGGAGTACAGGGGACACTGCCACCAGGGGCTACATGATGTCATAGGAGTGGTGAGGCAGGTCACAAGAAACAGCCAATCAGAGAGAAGGTAGGTTACGTGGGCCAATGGGAGTAAGTGCCCCCATTCTGCTGCAGTCCACATGTTCCTGAGCTGTCAGTGGGCAGCAAAAAACACACCAAGCACTTAAGAAAAAGCCTAGAAAAATATGACAAAGAACAAACAACAGAGAGTATCTTTAAAAACAAGAATTAACAAAAGGTTTATCAGTGAAGGGTACACTTTTTATTTAACCTGTTTATTGCCTAAATTAACAAGAGCAAATTAAGTAGAGCATGTCAGAAATTCTTGTTTTTTCTGCCTTTGAAATGCTTTCATATCGATTTCTGTCGATCAAGTTTTCAATTAAGTATCACAAATAAAACCTGACAGCATCTTATCGCGCTGCGTGTGCTGCTTGACTTCACATTGGGAGCGTCTCACTACCACGTGCTACAGCGAGACCGTGTGTCGCCTGCTTTCAGTAGCTCCTCTGATGGCTCAGGCTCACGATTAACGTGCATTTCAACATACACACAGCTACTTGGGATCAATAGTCTCTGAGGGGTAAGTTTGGTTGCTCGTGATATTTTGCCCTCTTTATCAATCAGATGTCTTGGTCCCGCCTCCACTAGTTGCTTGGACCCACCTCCTCTACAGTCTGATTGGACCCAATAATGTCTTGGACCCAATAATTTTTCATCCTCAGAATATTTTTGTGTAAGTAAAACTCTTATAAGCATCACACAGCTCCACGTACAGGCAGCAGACAACATCTCCTTGGGATGCAGATTCAATCCCGTCCAGCCGGGACTCGCCCGACACCCCCGTCCAACTGGGGCAAATTCTGGGCCCTGCCCATGTAGGACGTTTGGTGTGGCACCACGGCACATGGTTCAGCCTGAACATCGTGGACGACACAGTTTCTGTGGGGTGGTGCTGAGGTGGGCTGCGTCAGAGGGCTGACAGACAGTAGGAGATTGAGGAGCAAGAGATAACAAGAGGACACCCGCTTCCCACAGAAAGCCCCCCCCCCCCAGCAGGGTTGGGGCGCTGAATCAGTGGTGGCAGCCAGATAACGCTGGAGCCGGACCAGCGGATCAAAACTGGCCTTAGGTGAGGCTTAGGAGAGCCCAGTCCCCGGCTCCGTGACGGGGGACGGGGGGGGGGGGATGCACACCGAACAGGAAGGGAAGCACTTTAATCTACAGGTTCGGGTTCATGTACCTTCCCCAAAGAGAGCAATACAAATAATAAAATAATAATAAAAGCCCCCACCCACACGGCCCCTTTTCACTTCTGTGGCCAGCCTGAAGGCCGAAACAAGAAAGGAAAGCAAACTCTTCTGCCCTCAGGCCGTTAGTATCCCCATGGAGGATCCCCCCAAAGCTAACAGGCCACTGCATGCACTTCCATCATACGACACTGTCACTGCATATCTTTTACTGCTGTTGATATACTCGTCTTAATTCTTATTGCCTATTTTGTAGGCCGTTTCAGGGGCTTAGTTAGAGAAGAATGGAAGAGGGGCTGAGTCTTTACTGGGGGGGGGCTGATGGCAAATTATTCATGACTTCAAGTCAATAAATACACATTTATTTTGGGGGACTAACAAATATTTTAGGAGGTCTAAAGTCCCCCTAAAATATGCCTGACCATGCCCCTGCTTCTGTTGCCTTCATTATTATTTTATTCTTAGTTATTCTTATCTTTTTATAACATTTTGTTTTCCTTTTATTCCCTACAAGCACAGAGCAGGAATCAGGTGCCAAAGCATTTCACTACGCAGTAGTACAGTGTTTGATTACTTATGTGACAAATAAAAACATGAAAATATGAAACTTGAACAGCTCTCACGTCTCTTGCTGACCCTTCAAAATCTGTACTCCCTAATTCATGGGCTATGGGACAGAGACAGGGCAGGTGGGGGCGATGAAGATTGCCACCAGAGCAAGACAGTGGCGTGCACCCAGGACCAGGCAGATCACGCCGGCCTGAGGCCCCACGCTGGGCGTTATGTGCGAGGAGTCTGCTGTGAGGGGGGGGGGCTGGCGGATGCGTGTCACATTCCTGGGGGCGGAGGGGCGGCGCCCCGCGGCGCTGGTAGCTCCGTGCGTCTTTTCACGCCTGTGCTGCACTTTTCTCCGCAGAGCGGAGCCTATAAGCAGCACAGTCCTCTGGGCAGGAAAACCTACATTCACATTTAGTTCTTTTCACATTCACATTTTGTGTGTGCTCCCCAGGATTCGAACCCACGACCTTCTGTGTTCTGTGGTCAGCTACAGGAGCCGAACAGGCAACCTTACAAAGTCCCCCACATAATAAAGCCATGACTGTGTTCTGGTAAGGAGGTACATGCAGATGTGCGTGTGTGAGTCTCCCCCGGAACCGAAGGCATCTATCCACCAGGACCCACCCCCCCGCTTCTGATCGGGAACACAGCACCTGGACAAAAAAGCTAGCAGGTCGAGCCCACGGCTACCGGGCCGATTACAAAGCTAGAGGCGGCACTCGGCAGGAAGG